TTTTTGTACGCGAAGAAAAACTAATATAGATCCGTCGGGATTTGAACCGAAGACTCCTTTCTAATACGTCTACTTTATAGCGAGCGGACGGAAGAGAATCCGTTCATGACCATGGTCCCTTCTTAGATTTAACGTAGTTCACAAATTCACCGTTCTCATAACGTAGAGGGCAGCAGAAAATCCTTGACTTTTTACACTATCGGTATTTCAGAACATGAGACACGAAATCCCATAAGATGATAGGTCTATCCTATACCTAGTCGGTGATGAAACGTTAAAAAGTCATAATTGCCCGGCTAACTTCACAGAGGTCGTGACGTTGACATATGTGTATTCTGTCACTCTGTTGCTGGTGCGTTGCTCTTCGTGGCAGATCGTATCATTGACAGTTCTTTTTACACGGTTCGTAATAACCAGTAATAATACTTTAATATAATCTATACATATAACAATTTATTGAACTATTAAAATAAATTTAATGAATCCACTATAAATGACAATCAATGAGCCGAAATATTGTATATAACGTGTCCCATTCTTGAGTTCAAATCAGTACATATTTGTTTATACATTTTAACATTTTACTAATTTCTTTTTAATACTTCTACCTATTTTTCCACAAATTATAAAAATACATCCTCATTAGACGACAGATCTTATGTATTTTTAGAAGAAAATGAAAAACATAAAACGTCAAAGGAACTTTTTTATTGTTCTGAACATGATAAAACTTTTAATGGAAAAAATAAATTTCTATTTAAATTTCGTATATAATAAATTTGTGGAAACACAGTGTAATCTAAAAAAAAATAACTGAATACTATGGTAGATTGATCAAGTACAATCATTTTTGTTGCAGGTGTGCTTTAAATAACCGCCAAAATTGAGAATAAAATGCGCAGAGCTCATACAAGTAAGTTAATTAATGTAAAATTATCACTTTCAACTCTAATCAAATATACTTTTATTTTTATCTATTAGATTATGCTTACGAGCCAGTACCATCAACATCAAGTCAAAATGGTCTGGAAGATGAGAATGAAAGGATGACAGAACATTTAAAAGATAAAATTCATGCTTTGAAGTCATTGTCAATTGACATTGGAAATGAAGTACAATATCAGGACAAAATGCTTCGTGGAATGGTAAGTGCATTCATGAATAGGTTGTAGATTTTATAATTTTATAGCATGCAATATTGTCTAATTATCTGTATACTAAAAAGTTTAATAAAGTGCAATGAGGCATTCATTTTATTTGGAATCTGGTAATACCATTAATATAATAAACAAATTTTCGTTTGATTCCACTAACATTAATTGTATAAAAAGAATACAAGAATGTAAGAGTATAAATATAGAAAAATTCTATAAATTAATCCATAAAGATCCCTAATTGCATGTACATATGCAGTCTATTCATGAAAAATTGCTGATTATAATTATAGACTTTCCATGTATACATATATATATATGTATATATATATATATACACCCACACACAATAAACTTTTTTTTTATTGCCACAGGATGAAGATTTTGAAAGAACAGGTGGTTCTCTAACAGCATCCGTTGCACGTGTGTTCAGACTATCAAAAGGAAGTCATCATTATTACATTCTGTATTTATTCCTATTCTCCATAGTTGTCTTTTTTGTATTATGGATATCATTGAAATTTTTTAACTAAAAGGATTTGTGATGTTTGAAGGAGAATCCATTCCTAGATTATTTTATTATATACACACACAGTAATATTTAATTATGACATCTCATTCGTGTATAAATGTCAGAGACTTCTCTAAAATTATTTATAAGCTGTATAATTGAAAGTTTTGTTGGATTTTATGTATGAAAGTATCTACATATATTGTATCTAAATGTACATAAGTTAATATGACTGTAAAAATTAACCAAACACATATTTTAGGAGTAACAGAGCATACGTGTACAGACATATACAAATATATTTTAATTAATAATTAATGCACAGAATTTGAAATGTTTAATATCGTCCACGTATTGCCATGATATTTAGATGTTGGCGGCATTGAGTGAAAATATACAGTAACCTAGCATAACCTGATGACATTACATACTTATATACATATAAGTTCACGTGTAAAATACTGGCACATGGCGTGAAAAAAAGTCTTAAAGATTGATTGAAGTACGAAGTGTACTAAAATGAAGGTGAAAAACTTGAGGGTAAATCCTTTTAACCGAGTTCAGGAGGAGAGCAACGAAGCAACACCAAGTACATCGGAAACCACCGAAACAAAAGAGGTTATCTTGCCATCTGACAGCAACTTTAATCACATAAAATGCAAAGCATTACGATACCAGAAATGTCAGAAATTAATGAAAGAAAAAGCGAAGGCTAAGAAAGAAGCTAGGAAAAAACGACTTCAAGAAGGGGGTACAAAACAAGTGCCGCATACAATCGAGAGCTTGAGGGAAAAAGATGATACCACTATTACTGGAGACCTTGACGATGAAGAAAACCAGGAATTGAAAATTGATTTTGAACATGATGAATTTGCTTCTTATTATAGACACGACTATGAGCCCAAAGTCTTGATCACTTATTGTGACAATCCAACAAGAAAAACCAGAATCTTTGGCAGAGAAATGACAAGGATAATACCAAATTCTATTTCGTTGTATAGAAACCGGTCTGGAGTGAAGAAAATGGTGAAGAGTGCCATTGCGAGAAATTTCACTGATATCATTGTCATCAATGAAGATCAATGTAAACCAAGTATCCTTTGTATAAATTTAAGACTTCATTTTGTTTAGATCCTAGTTATATAAGTTTATTTTCCTTATAGTGTTCTTTAGATGGTATGTTAATCATTCATTTACCAGATGGACCAACAGCATACTTTAAACTGAGCAATGTGAAAATAACACCAGAGTTGAAACGTAATCACAAAGAGATCACAAAACATAGACCAGAAGTTATTTTAAATAATTTTACTACTCGCTTGGGTTATACAATTGGTAGAATGTTAGGGGCATTGTTTCATTATCAGCCTGAATTTAAAGGAAGAAGGGCTGTCACATTTCACAATCAAAGGGATTATATATTTTTTAGACATCATAGGTAAAATTTGTGATCTATAGAACTAAATATACTTGATGGAACAAATATAGTGACTTTGTAAACAGCTCAAGAATAACAGATAACTTCTTGATTATTTATATTTGACAAGTAATCACTAAATAGGCTACTTCTGAGGATATTAACACATTCACTATATTTGTGGATATAAGAAATTATTGTCAATAGCAAATGAAAATGTAATAACATGTATGTTCTTATAGATATCAGTTTGATTTACAAAAAGGAAAACCCAAATTAAGAGAATTGGGACCTAGATTTACTCTAAAACTAAGATCCTTGCAACATGGAACGTTTGACAGCAAATATGGAGAATATGAATGGCTTATACAAGGACGAAGACATGATATGGAAACTAGTAGAAGAAAATTCTTCCTATGAACTTTATTATCTAGCCTAAGCACTTCTGAGGATGGGTGCCTTATCATTATAAATAATCAATAAAGTTTGTATAGAAATATAAAAATTACTTTTTATTAAACTCTTATGTAATATCAACTAATAATACAAATATTAGAGTTCAGTCCATAACGTAAATTAACAAAATTTACAGTCTTTATCTCTTTAACTATTTTTAAACTTCCTGTGTTTACCAGCTTTAGGTTTATATTGCTCATAAAGTACTTCTGTCCTTTTTAAAACATAGACTGCAGCTTGGAGGCCACCTATATTTACACCTAACATTTTTGTTACCCAGAATAAATCTCCTGCTGTTTGTAAAGCCTAAGTAAACAAATGTTTATGTAATTTTGGATAAGAATATTGATTTCTGAACTTCAGTAACATACCATATTAAAGCTACGTTTGTCATAAGTGAGTAATACCGCCCGGCCTGTTGAAATTTTTAGAATTCGTCCTAATTCTATTAAAAATTGTTTATAAAGTATTCTGTTGTCTATCATTCGCCCACTTCTTCTTCCAAATGGCTATAATAAATATTGGAAAATTGAACAGGTAATACAATAATAACATTTTTGGAAAAGAAATATAATTACCAGGTCTGAAACGACAATATCAATGTACGAATTTTTAAGTGGTAATTGTGATACACTCCAATGTACTAAATCAATTTTGCAATTGGAGGCAGATGCATCAATATTAGATTTTGTCCTATCAACAGCTTTTGGATGATTGTCACCACCAATAATGTAAGACTGGGAGTAAACTAAAGCTGCCTAGAATGTTTAGTGTCAATATTATTGAACATTACAAGAAATTTGTGGAGACAAGAATAAGCTGTTTGAATGTTGTAGACAACCTCTATCGGGATAGAGCCACCACCACACATTGGGTCAATTATTATGTCTCCTAGATTGGGATTAGCTAATTGTAGTAAATTGTAACATATAGTTGCTCTAAGGGTAGTTGGTCCAAAGAATGTAATATTTCTACGATGCTTAGACACATGAGTAACACGAAAATATGTTACCAGTTCCTCTATAAATAATACATATAATGTACATTATACTTTGGAACAGAAATGCCTTTCATTGCCTTATCACACTTACCATTAGTTAATTTGCAAAGTATCTCTAAGTGATACGAAGACAAATCTACAAGCCAACAATATTTATCTTGTAATTCCCCTCCAATAGCCCTGGCAACATCAGCTGATTCGAACGAATGTTTACCACTTCTTTCACAAGTTACTCTATACCTTAAAATTTCATTTTCTTTAGCTTCAGCTGGATCCTGACCTCTTTTTCTACCCCTACATGTTGCAATTGTGGTATTGGTATTTGTGAGTTTACGATCTTTTTCTGCCACACTATATTCTGCAATAGTAGGATATACTTTTCCTTGAAAATCTGTTACTCGTTTCCAAGCATTTAAAGTCTTCTCTAATTTCATACTACTAAGCACTGAATCTTTGAACAATTGCAGGTCAGCTTCCTTATCAGATTCACTAAATTTAAACTTTCTTACATCTGCAACTATAAATATATTGTCTATTGACCTCATCTCTTGTACCTAGAATTATAAAGCCAATGTTAACAGTAAAAGACATTCTTGCCCTATCTTGAGAACTATTTGGTACAGGGAAGAATACTTCGGGCAAGAATTATACATTATTTTATAACAAATTCAACAACTGAGTAGGTATCTATAAAGAATGTTAATTTGTTAATATATTAAATGTTATTGACTCTCAGGCTTATTTTCATTATTTGTACAAAAATACTGTTAATAATGTTGTTTTAAAATCTATTCCTACAAAGGTCATTTCAGTGACATGTTCTGTTACTCTGAACAATATTACATTTCAGTTTCATTCAAGTTTTCCTGAAATTATGAATTAAAAACAATTGCATAAAAATACGCAAAAAAGGTTAATACTTGTTTAAATTGATTCCAATTCGCGTTCAAGAAAATCTTCCCGCGTCCCTTAACGATCATAACATTTTTATCCAATTTTTTTTTGCATTCATCCACCGCTTGCCACTCGAAACCTGAAATTAGAACATTGTAGAGGTTATACTGGAGAACCACGTACTCAGGTTTTTAATTAAGCTGAAGCAGTGCATGTACCTGTGTCCACAGTCGTTGCAACCATAAAAACATTGTCATTAGCCAACGATTCAGCAAATAGCATCTGTAAATCCGATTCATTTACCGTGTCCATTTCGAAATTTAATTCTTTTAACACACGGAATTATTTTCAGTTCTTCGAGCACGTGATTATGCACGTGACTAATGTCAAACTATAGCTAGTATTTAATAGAAATAATCCCATTAATTTGAATATGCAAAACTACCAAATCACGTTTTATTTGCGTCGTTTTTTATCACTCATTTTTTAATCGTTTTAAGTCGCGATAAAATAAATATTCAACAATTTTAAAACACGGTTTAATCCCTAAACTGTTCTTCAGACCGTTCAGATGATCTAAGATTGCGGAAGATATCCGCCGCTCGAATTCGCGAGTGAAGGGGAACAAAAATCCGCGCGGCCGTGGACTCTGTTTTTGTGCAAAATAAAGAACACCTCCTGCACGCGCGTGGTCTCCTGATACAAAATGTCAATTTTGTTGAACAGTTTACAAAGTTTCTAACTTTTGCGAAATATAACAACAAACGGTGATCAAATACGTTATGGAAGCGTGACGAAACAGGCGGTTGCAAATTTTCAAACGAACGTCTATACTCAATAATCTCACGGTTATAAACAATGTAACGAATTTGAGCTCGGGCTGCAACTGTGTGTACGTCGCCGTTCCACGTTTTATCGAACCGACGTCAGCCGCGGAAGAGAGTTCACCGATAAAAGTGCTCTCGCGCGTTCTAATTTAATTCATTATCTGCTCTTAATTGCAAACGGAGCGCGGTAAAAGCGTAACCGTGGCATGAAATTATTTCGCCATAGCTGATAGAAAATTATAAACGATAATTTTTTAAACAAATAAGTGGACAGTTGAGTAGATTGGTGCGAAGAAACCAATGATAATTTGAATAAATGTTTAATAAGCCTACTGGGCGTGTGAGTAATGTAGAGAATAAATAAATTTGTGAAGATTTTTGTATATAATTTATCGTTTACATTAAAGAAAAAGCATTAATTCTTTGCGCTGGTTTGCAGAGATTTATAATGATTGATTTTAACACGTCGAATGCCGTGGGGGTCACCGGTGACCCCCACTCTAGGGAGTATACTTTTCGATATTATTAATATTGAACCATAAATCGGGAAACTTCTACAAACTAAATGCCAAAAGTATGATAACATAGTTGACTTTAATAATTTTATATAACATTTTATTCTTGTACACTCTGTAACGAAAATGTCACTTCGACGATGTGGCTGAAATGTACGAAAATTCTGCGGCAGTCAACGTGTTAATTGAATAGGCTGTTGCATATGAATTTGGTCATAGTGGAATGGAGTATAGGACGTTATTGTTATAGAAACAATGTTTTGAATTACAATATGTAGATGATGAATTTTATGTATTTATCAACAGAGTTACTGCACTCAGGAAGAAATTTAATAAAGTATAACGAGGATTTTACTTTATTCAGAACTTGATAGAATACTTAATACAATGATCAAATTTCGTCGTTACTTCAATTACTGTAAATTAATCGGTAGAAATCTATACCTGGTTGCATAATATATCCATGATCTAATAATGGTATGTTACATTTCCTTTTCTATATTAAATACGGAGCAATGCAAGGAAGCTTAACAAAATCAAAATGTCAGAAATTCGTTCCGTATTTGAAGAGATCTTTTATCAATGGTTATTTATAATCTGGTATTTGACTTCAAAGCGACGATAGCGAAGCCGATTTCTTATCGACTGGACAAGGATTTAAATATTTCGACTTAATCCGGGTTACTTTCGAAAACGATTAACCACAAATGAAACCAATGGATAAGCCGGAACGAATTGAATTATTAAACGATTGACGATTGGCGCGACAGAACATTTCCTTTGGAAACCGCGACGGGTATTACGGAAAACTACTTACGGCAACTCCGTTCCCGAGCAGCAGTCCATGAATATTCACGATTGAGCGTGAGTTGACGTTCACAGTTACCCATAATTTAATTCGCTGAATGGACCTACGGAAAAACTCCCTCGAAAACGTCATTTCCCGCGCGATTTATTGAGAGGTTGATCGAATTTACGATGTCAACTGCGTAAACACAAAATGTCGGAAGTAATAGAGAAGGACAGTGGACGAAGTTAACCTCGACAGAGTTTAATTTATAACGAAGGTATAACTCCTATTTTAGAAACAAGAAATGTTGCTCTGAATACGAACTGATATCACTAAAAAGCGAATCTAAGTACTATAAAATAAACTGAACTGAATAGAGAAAGTTGATTGTAAAATGTGTTTGCTTCTGTAAGAAATCTGCTAGACTTCCGGTTCTCGGGGTCTCGGTAATTTATCGGATTATTCAAATTATTTTTAACCTGCTCATCTTTCAGGTTATTATTAATTTCGCACCATTTAATGACATTAATATCCATAAAATTTTCTAATTATCATCGATACTATCTGAAAGCTATCAAACCTGCCACACGGACAAGGCTAAAATAGATCACGTGACGTAGTTGTACATTCACTTCGCATCAACACAATATACAAACAATATTAATCACGCATTCCTCATGTGTACTAGACTCAGCAATTATTATTGACTCAAAACATTCACTATTATTATTCTTACCCAATTATTGTTCATTAACAGTTACCTTCACTTTTCCTTCTTCACTCTATGATAATTATTTACGAACGGAAAGTCACCCATCTAACGGTACAAGCCAAACCACCCCAACTAACAAGGGTTGATAAACCAATAAATGAATTTTTAACAATTTCATTGCACAGAAATCCATTAATATTCCATTGCAACATTTTTTTTTATATCTACTATAGTTCTCAAGATATACAGGACGATAGGAAAACAAACATTAACATTTAAGGGGTAGTTTCACCTCAACGGACCGAATATTGGCAAAAACGAAAACTTGTCCGATACTTCTACCGAGATTGCCTACGAACCTGCGGAGTTTAAAAAAAAATCGGAAGTTTCGGTGCACCGTAAGTTGAGGTAACTTTCATTCAGTAGGGTAACTTTGTTCCAAGTCAGAAAATTATCATTTCCAATGTTGCAGCTCCACAAATTATAAAAATTAAGTTGATTTTTACGTCAAAAGGTATTACACGTAAAAAAATACCTGCAAAAGAGTGTTTCAAAGTTATCCCAACCTAAGGTACCGAAGTTCTCTTGTAATTATCATTTCCAATGTTGTAACTCCACAAATAATTAAATTAAGTTAATTTCTACGTGAAAAGGTATTTCACGTAAAAAAATAACAAAGTTCCCTTGTAACTAGAATTGCTAAAAAAGACACTAACAGCGACTACAGTAAATCATCGATAACTGTTCGAAACTTCCTGAACCTTAAATATTCCATAAACTAACGGCTATATTTGGTTGAAACAAATATCATTGGCATCAGAATCCGAAGCTCAATCACCGTGCTAAACCTCATTAAAAATCCAGCATTCCACCTGAGCACTTGTCAGTGCCGAGGAGCCTTCGAACACTCATCGATGATTTACTGTAATTCAAACCGCCATTGTGGTTAATCAAATCCTTCGACGTTCCATCGAGCTGACATCTGATCCATCTCGTACGCAGGTAAATACGTAATTATCCGTTATTTATAGACAATCGCTTGTTACCCCGTATTAGACCACGTATTAGGCGATTCGCGAGGTGTCGGAGATAGGGGGTGCTTCCTCGCGGAAGGTGGAAAACTGAACGTCTGTACATCCATCCTCCGGGTCATCGCAGGTCGAAAGTTCGCCGGGCCATACGTTTCTATACATAGACGGGATCCAACCCTCTCTTCCCACATCATCCCCTTTGCCACCACCCCCTTTCTCTCTTTCGCGCGCCTCCTGTCCCGCGGACTGACAGCTGAAGCCAGGAGTGACTAAAATATTCACCGGCACAAGGCGAACGAGTCGCGACCGAACGTCGATCTGTCAACCCGCTTTGACTATATAAATATGGATCGTCCCTAGCTAGCTCCTGCGCACAGGATATATAGATTTATACCGGGTGGGGCGTAGGGGGAGAAAAAAAAATCTTTTCAACATCCTCGACCGAGGCGAAATTTATCGAGGGCTCGAGGAAAATACCGGAAAAGCCCACCTGATACAAGGAAAACGAGACTTCGGGGGGGATCTTAATTTCTTTGAGTGGTTTTCTCAGGTTTAGGATATCGTTTTTTGGGATGAATTTTGGATTTTGTTGAGCTGGGTACGGGCTGATGTATTTAGGATTGTTCTTCTTGGATTGTTGTGTATTGTTTACGCCATTGTTACATTGATAGTTTGTGAATGGGAAGATTGCTGTTGGTGGTTCCTGAGATGGGAAAATTCATTACAGGAAATCCTCGATTAGTGTTCGAAGGTTCCTCGACACTGAACATTAAATATTTCATAAATTAATGGCTGTATGCTTCAGGCTCTATCACTGTGCTAAAATTCATTACAATTTCGACGTTGTCAGTGCTGAGGAGCCTTCGACCATTTATCGAGGATTTACACACAAGTTAAGGAAAGAATTGATCTCTAACTAGTAGGCAACAATACCTTCATTACCATTTTTACTGAAGAAAGGAAAAGTTGTTTCATATAATGAACATACCTACACACATTGTTCTTAAAACACATTTCGAATATACACCTCACGTGAGTTGAATTTTTGCTTTCTGTGAGAGATACAAGTAAAAAAGTATTTGTTATTCGTTATAAAGTAAATATATTATTAAAAGCAGAAAAAAACCTATACCGATTTGACTGGGAAATTGTGCAGTATTCACTCTATTTATTATACTTTCAGGGAGATCATTTATTTCGGTCCTGAAAGAAATTCAGGTAAAGCTTTTGAAAACTGAGAAGTCAATTGAAAAATGATTAAAAAGATTTCTGACCAGCAGGTACCATATAGACGTATAGACACGTAAACTGATGGTATTCAATTAATTTATACATTACTTAATTAGTTAAATTGATTCGAGGAGTCTGCAAGAGTCAAAAAGGAATAAACAAATATTCCTAAGTAATTACTTTTCTCTCTCTTTTTTCTCGTTTTTTTTAGCGTTTTGATTTT